ACCCATTAATGTGGATGGTATGAGCACGCTACATACAATAGATGGCCAAATGGAAGCAAGAGTAGATACTGAACATCTGTGCACAAAAGAGTAACATTAATTACCTATTTGTACTGTAGAATTAGAGGTTAGTTTCCTGGTTGAATGATAGGTCATGAAGTTTCCAGCACCTTTCCAAAACACCTTCACAGAATCAAATAAATGCTGAGGATAAGGAAGAAATTCTGTACCTAGTTGACAAAATTATCATGCTATTTAGTCTGTTTATAAAAGCTGTGAGTGTGTATTAGGAATCCCACTGCATGTTTAACCCCAAAAATCATGCAAACAAGGAAGAAGTATTTTTCTTTTTTCACTCATTTCTGTGAAATCACACATTGAACATACTGTGACATTTGTAGGCAGCTACAGCAAAAGGATCAGATAATGTATCTTGAAAATTGCAAAATTTATTGATAAAAAGGATGATAGCTAGTTCCTCCCAGCTCCTTTATCAAAAAGTCAGCAGCACCATCTCCATTTCTGAGAGCAGAAGAAAGAAGATTGTCAGGGGAATTTAGGTATAGCCATTAGATGTGGAAAACAGAAGAATAAATAGGGTGTGAAAACAGGAACCAATCCATGTCTATATCTCTGTTTTCAACATTCAGAACTCAAAAATGTTTTTGTGCTGCAATTTTCTCAAAGAGAAAATATAGCTGCATGAAATTTGCTTTATTTCAGAAAGAAATATGGGATCTTTATCTAAAAATTATTCTTCAGTGTTAGTTTATTACTTAAGAGTCTCAGCTATACAAGATGGCACTAAATACTTATGTAATGCATTAATTTCTCCTTTAAAGGAGAAAAAATTAAATGCATGGTGATGTCAGAAATCTGGACATATACATACAGCTCCTGTGTATTTGTCAGGGAGTAACACAGAAAACTATGGAACACATTCTCTCTAGTCTCTTCAAGACATTCTCTCTATCCTCTAGCATTTTTCTAAGTTTTGGAAAATATAAGTCCTTTCTACATATTTCCAGGATTTTCACAAAAAGGACAGAATGATTAGAGATATCTGCTTGCGGTGGAATTAAGAAAAATAGGAATATACTTTTGTTCGAGGAATATAATTTTGAAAATTGTATTCTATTATCCTGTTTTCTTTAATAGTATCTCATATGGGCTATGAATGAAAAAACAGCACAACCTACAGATATATACTATTATTTGTAGCTAATTTATGTAAATGTCATAGGTCTTAAAATAATCTGATGTAATTTACAGAACAAATGCTATAGACTTTATTAACTATTTTTTGTACTATAGAAACAATGTGTGACTGAAAAATCACATGCTATTTTGAAAGGTGTTCAATCATGGTACCAGTTTTATTACTCCTTTTATAAACACTGTACCTCATTGAGTAAGAAAATGCATGCATTTGCTGGAAACCACCAATGATAGTCATAGGGCTGATAGTCATTGTTAGCTTGCTAAATTAAGTTTCCAGCCATTTGGATATTTACGGTGCCTTCTTGTTTCTCCTATTCTGATTATACATTTACTTGCAACCTCATGAAGGTGGGCTTGGATTTTTTGTGTACTATGTACAGCTCATCTTTTGTTAACAATAGGAAAACAGTGGAGGATGGTCACAGAGTATAGGCAGCAACTTCTCCATGGTGTTGCTGCAGAGGTGGTAGCTGTAAGATAGCTGAGTCCCAGGGGAGATGTCTTGCCTCCATCCACCCACACAGCAGGGGTGTCTGGATGGATTATACCCTCATGCATGAATAGCCATAATGTGTTACTAGCTTTCTTGTGGAGAGAGATCACATTATGATGTTCAGCAGATCAAACAACTGCTCTGTCGGTGTGCGTGGTTACCTTCTGTGGTCTGGCCTATGTCCCAAACCCGAGCAATACACCTGTCATCTCTCCAATCTTAAAAAAATGCTTAGATTCTTCAAAATTACAAGGGTGCATGAAGCACCTCTGTAGAGGATAAACTAGTTCAAGCTAAAGAGGTGGAGTGCTGTTAGGAAAATGCTGGTTCATTTTGAATAAGACAGATCCCAATAGGATCATGAATGTCATTCTTCTTTTTTCAGTTTTGAAGAGTGAATAGGGTTGATGCTTCCTGGAAACCAGAAATCCCTCCAGACACATTAAATTCCAACTCATCTTTATCTTATTAAATAACTAATACCATCCAACTATCCATATCAACACAAAAGTGCTGAACGCAAGCAAATAACTCTTTGTACTGTGAATAGGACTTTGTTTTGGATTTAGTGATATCTTTCCATGCAACAGCCTTCAGAGGATGTGAACTCTGATAATCTGTTTTCTGAAAAAAGTGGAATACATAGCTAATGTCCTGCTTTCAGTCTGGGACTGTGCTACCCAGGCAGTGCCATAATACGGTGTCATGGAGACACTCCTTGTAATGAGTACACTCACTCCTATCTCTTTTCTACTTGAAGAAAAACAAAAAAAAAATATTTTGGAACATAAGGCACGGTCTGCCTGTAAAATAGGAAAGTAAGGCGATGGCATGCAGAGGCCTGCCACCCAAGCCTTCCTGTGGTGGGCTTAAAAACTTCTATCTAAACCAAAAATGGATGTTGAAGAGTGTTTCTAAGTGCTCTGAGCACAATAATCACCATGTAACAGAGACCTCTCTGGGTCCCTATATGTCCAGCATGTTTGCATTGAGAGGGTTTTTCGGAGGTCTTTAGAGACTTAGAATGAAGCTTCATCGAGAACACAGAGACCCTTGTGGTAGTTCCAGACAAGAAATGAAATGAATGAGAACCAAGTGCAGCTTTGTCCTCAGGCAGCCAAAAGGGAAAGTTTGGGCACAGCCCTGCATGAATTAAGCTGTACTGCTTCTGAGCTGAGCTGACACAGTTACTGTGCAAAAGTGTTGGATGTGCTAGCTTAAATCCACAGAAGCTGTGAGCCTCCTGCCTTATGCTGGGCTTCAGGTGGAGCAATCAGCACGGCTTTGTCTGGGCTCTGCAACTTTTATGCACCAGAGGCTTGCGGCAATCAGACTTACTGTTGAGTCAAGGATGTTTTCAGGCTTTTTAGCTTGAACTGCCTACTGCCAAGAATGAAAATGCAACAGATAACTTCACTCAGATTAGCTTGTTCTATGTCACATTCTTTCGTCATTGGAAAGGCTATTTCAACATCTTGCTGATTTGTTGCATGTGCCTTTTCTTACTCATTGTGAAGTTCAACAAGTACAACTGTAAGGTCTTGCATCTGGGAAAACATAATCCGTGAGTGCAGCACAGGCTGGGATCTACCCGGCTGGGGAGCAGCTCTGTGCAAAGGGACCTGGGGGTCCTGGCGAGCAGCAACCTCACTATGAGCGAGCAGTGTGCTGAAGTGGCCAAGAAAGCCAACAGGATGCTGGGTTGTGTCAACAAGGGCATCACCAGCAGAGATAAAAAAGTCACTATCCCACTCTACTCAGAGCTGGTCAGGCCTCGCCTGGAATATTGTCTTCAGTTTTGGTCCTCACAATACAAAAAAGATGTGGACAGGCTGGAGAAGGTCTGGAGAAGGGCCACCAAGATGATCAAAGGCCTGGGAAACCTGCGATATGAGGAAAGGCTGAGAGAACTGGATTTGTTCAGCCTTGAGAAAAGAAGTCTTAGGGGGGACCTTATCACTACTCTCCATTATTTAAAGGGTGGCTACAAAGAAGATGGAGACCGCCTTTTTTACAAGGAGTCACATGGAAAAGATTAGGAGTAATAGGTACAAGTTACTCCAGGGGAGATTCCAATTGGACCCAAGAGTTCACAATCAGAACAATCAGCCATTGGCATAATCTCCTCAGGGCAGTGCTGGATTCCCCAACATTGGACCCTTTTAAGATTCAGCTGGACAGGGTGCTGGGCCATCTTGTCCAGACCATGCTTTTCCCACAAAAGATTGGACCAGATGATCCTTGAGGTCCCTTTCAACCTGGTATTTATGATTCTATGATTGTGTCTGCTCTATGATTGTGTCTGCTCTTTTTAGCACAGGGAAAGTCCATTGCTTTGCTTCATTAAAACATTTACAACGAGAAGGCTGAGATCACTTTCCCAAGCTGCATTAGGTAGAATGCATTGGCTGTGTGTTTTGTGTCCCAGTGTTCATTCTCTGCTTTTATTTAAGTGCTGTTGTCATATATAGACTAATTGCTATCCTATAGCCTCTTCCTAATAATTTATACACTTTTTTGTCAGCATGGTTAGAACACTTCTACTACAAACCCTTTTTCATTTACCCAGCTGTTCATTACTCTGCATGCCTTATTTAATAAATTGTTTGTTTGTTTTTCAGGTAGCAAAGGTTCACCAAGATAACAATGCATTTTAATGACTGATTTGGTAGGACAAATCCTAAGAAAGAATCTCTGCAAGAATTTTATCATCACAAATTTCAGTTTTTAAGGACTTTGCCTCTTTAAGAACTGGGACCAAATTACACAATATTTCATTTTAACTCTTAATCCATTTTTTCATCAGTCCCATTCTTCCCTTTCCCAGGCTGCAACTGTAATGACTAGGTCTGATTTACAGATGCATAACGAGCAAGTAGAGGTCTTCCTCCTGCTTCTGTCTGCTGGTCACTGGCAATTCCACTTTAGTTTTCCATTCAAAACAGAGCAAGCTGCAGAAAATAAGTGTTTCCATGAGAAATAGACAGGGGAACATCTGTCATGGAAAACAAGAGTTGTCAGTAAATAAAGAAGCTTCAAAAAAGAAGCTAGATATCCTCTTTTATTAAAGAAAGAAACAAAGAATATTTGCACTTCTCTATAGTTAAGGTAAATTAAAGAATATGCTTTTATAAAAACATATCCAGTCTTATTTCTTTAGTTTTCTTCTTTTTTATCAAGGCAATAATGTTCTTTCTTAGTGTCCAGAAGTTTCAACTGTGATCCCCCGTGATTAAACTCAGAAACAGTCATATATCTTATTCCAGTGTTACCAATCTGTTTTCTCCAGGGTCATATTTTTCATCTTAGAGAAGATGGACAGATGTGATCAAGAGGCGTCAGAGCAAATCAAATCTGTGCAGTGCATGTGACATGTTGCAGAGTGCAGGTAGCAAAGAACTTTCTGCTCCTTTTTTGTTGCAGTTTGTGAGACTGCCAGAAGGGGAAATCTAATTATACAGTTGCACTTGCTGCATGTGGAGGGGTTGTAGAGCAAGTAAGTTTTACTAAATCAGCAACCAGTTCTCTAATGCTGTTACGTCTGCTCCTGTTTTGTTTTTTTTTTCCAAAACGAGTTATAATGAACGCACAAGAAGAGCAATCAAAAGTCCCTAGATTTGTAGAAGTAATGTAAGGCACATAAAGACAGGTCTTAAGATCCCAGATACAAACTAATGTCTATTGATTTTTGAGAAAGTAAAAATTGGATGTAATGTTGTGTTTCCATTTTTTTTGTTACTGTGTCTTCCTAAGGAGGACAAATTTGAATTAAAATACAAAGGTAATTCTAGTAGGGATTTCAGTTTCATCTCCAGTAACACAGTGTTTGAGGAACATTATCTGTCCTTTATTTAAAATAGAAGTGTTTTTCTTACCAAATACAGAAGGTATTATTTCATCCTACAAAGCAATAGCAATGTCAGTGTGGATGTTTATGTATTGGAAATGATCTGTTTTTTAAAGTGGAAACAATTAGAGCAGAAATTGAGGTTTCCTCATAGGATTTTATGATTCAGAACAACAATTCATGCCATATAAACAAAATTGCTTCCAGCCTAAGAGCATGTGTATCAGTTTTGTAGAATGATGATTCCAAGATGGCAGATGGAAATAAAGATTTGTAGTAGAAGTGAATCTTAGATTTTATTTTCATGTTACTAATTGGAAATTGTATAGTATGTAAATGTCATAAAAATAAAATAAAATATAGCATGCATTAGTAGCTGCATTATGCCAGAACAATACAACTTATATAAATAGTTTGTCTCAGCTAGAAAGAATTTGGGGGTGTTCTTAGAAAAGTATTTGTTCTATGCAAATTAAATTAGATATAGAAAACTATAGTATTGCTTGCTGCATCAATCTTATTTCCTAACACACTGAAGTCACTCAGCAATATACGTGTCTAAAGCAATGTTCAGGCATGCTGGATCATTGGCAGACAGTCAAGGTACTCAGTTTGACATGGAATTTCTCAGTGACTGCACCCACTGGCAAGCTATGTCTAGCTAGGCTCATTCTCAGCATCGTCTCCTACTGGGGTCACACGAGGCCAGAAGCAGCTGGCTCAGAACGGGCTTCTGCCTCACTTGACTGCAATGGGAAAAAAAGAGTGGAGAGGCCCTCTGGTACCTTGCTTACATAGGAGGAACCAGCTGTCCTTCCACTGTGACCTTGCGGTGTTGGGGTAAATGTCTTGTTTACATCTTTTCTTTAGCTTCCTCTCGCCATTTGGTTATCCCCCCCTGGCAATAGTTATCTGTTCTTTACCACGTCCCTTAGCAACTCAGGAAGACAGAAGGACAGGAATGCCAATGTCTGTCCTGCTCCCTCAGTGCTGTTCTTTATGGTGTGTCTTTCATACGTGCATAGTGTTCCTTCCAGCTCTTATGGTCCATCCGTTGGACAGACTGCATCTTGCTGTTTGTGTGGGATGCACTGTCCATGCATAGAGTAAGGTCAGAAGTGAATAATGGGATAATTCTGGTTTGTAATCTGTTCAGAGTGAGATTAGTAGCAAGTCTGTGAGTTGTGTTAGAGCTTTATTAGATCTAAGAGACATCAGTCTTGTTGAAAAGTCTCCAAGGACCTGAACATATCTCATAAAATGAGAAACAGTTCTAATAGCTAATCCTTATTACTAATTTTTGTTCTATTTTGATTTTTTTATGCTCTAACAGTCACTTACTAGATCTTATTTTGTATTTATCTGATAAATTAAGAATGCTTTGCTACTTTCTTTTTCACAGACCATGATCAATGTCCTGCTAAGCATATTTTTGGTGCATCAACTCACTGGATCTCCATTAGTATCCTGTAAGGTAGGTTTTCCAGTTCTTGAAATATTTTTGTAATTCTCTTATGGATCCTCTTGGTGGGATAAACACCAGAGCTGCAAGCAGAATGGCAATATCATGGTGGTAAACTATCATATCCAGCCACAGAAAGAGCTCCTCCTGATATTCTGCATTTCCTTCTATGCCTCTGTTCCTGTTAACTTTATTACCGTAAGCCTTTCTGAGTCATGTTTTTCCTAATGTAATTCCTAAACCATAGGAGTGTCTTGCTGATCCTGTTGATACTTAATTATGTAATTGGAGGATAGTCTTCTGGAAATTATGTGCTGTGTAACTTTGAACAAATTGCCTTCTGTTCCTGTTACTTTGGTAGGCTGTGGATAGAGTGGAGGGGGAAGGAGGTGCTGGGGTGAAAGGGGGAGAGCGCATGAGTGAGAAGTACTTCTATAGGGAGATAAACACTAAAATTGTCTTTAGGAGGATAGATTCCTGCAGGATGACATATAACATATAATCACTTGAAGTTTTCAAGATGTTCCTCTCAAGCATGCTCACTAGTGTTTACACCACTAAAGTATTCTGTTATCTATGTAATGGAAAAAATAAAGACTATCATCTTTTAAAATAATTTAACACTTTCTTAAGAGAAATTTGGAAAATTGTTGGATTTGTATGTCTCTTTCTTCCGTTCTTATGGCCTCTATTGCTGTTGTTTCATTTTGTTAGGTGAGTTGACTTTTTGCTGAACAACTTTGAATGTGAGACATATATGCAACAAGTTCTTAAAAATATTAACTTAATTACACTATTCTTTCTGGAAGTTCACTGAAACTGACAGGGTACAACTTGTAGCCAAAAAAAAAATAAATTTTCTTTCAGCTTATAATTACATTTTGTTAAAAAACTACCTTCACAGCTTATGCATCCAACCATTCTGAATGAACTATAACGTGAATTATTTACAAGATTTTATTTTCTGGGGAAGCTGACATTCAAACTGATGACTAAACACACTTGTTTGAAAAGTTTGTTTTGAGTAACCACCACCAGCCTTTGGAAAAGGGGACATGTTTCTGAACTTGCTTTTGCATTCCTGCATCCCTGGATCACCCAAAGCAGCATACTGGAGCAGGCTGGGTGAGCAACGGGTGCTGCATTGGCCATGTAATTATATAAATATCTAAGCCACACTACAGGGAAAGCACAGTATCACCAGCTCCAGTGCAGATGTTTTCCATACAGGAAGCCTCTAATCCAAACTTTCCCTCCTCTCCTCTTGCTGGCCTCACATGGCCTCATCGTACGCTTTGCTCATTCTGAAACAATTATATACGTTTGAATGGCAGCCAGACTGATTACAGCCCGTGTTTTTAAAAAATTAGCCAGTCGTTCTGACCATTGCATTTAGTAGAACATTCAAATCGATCAGGCTGCAGGTAGAAAATAATTTCCTTTTTGTTGTTAATGAGCTTAAGTATGGTGATCCACTAAGCAAATTCTGTGTTTTCCAGAGCCATTTCCCATAAGTCCTACACTCAGGCACAAACCATATGTACACACGTCTTTATTCATACTAGAAAATTTCCATGACTTTTTGAAGATACTGAGAATTACACAAAGGAGGTATTTGCCAAAGCATTTCTCTGAAGTGTTTCTGCTTTTGAACAAAAATCAAGGTGAATGCTGAAAGATGCTGCACAGCACTTTTCTTGTGTTATTATCTTGTAAAGCCCAATTCAACAAACCGGTTTTCCTGTGATGAAATACTACATTCTTACTTTGAAGTGACAGGATGTCAGAATGACATGAATTGTTTAATGAAGTTCCATAGCAGAGCTGAAGTAACTTGTTGTAAAGGACATGTGTATTCCTCATGTTTTCAGAATTAAGAGGCAGCTTTGTATTTTTTTTCTACTGCCAAAACACACAGGAAAGCATGCATAATTTACTGGAATACAACATGATAAGGGAATCTTCTGAAGTATTTTATTTAGATTTTTGTTCTGGTTTATATTTGCTGCTCTTTTTTTTTTTTTTTGATGTGTTTTTTAGTCAATTGGAATGGATCTGAACTTGTGCTTTCCCCAAAATTCATGGAATCTGGGCTGTGTGTCCGTGAGCATATGTGTGGTGTGAGTGGCTTAGCGTTCTTGATCCAGAAAAGGAAACGTTTGTATGTATAAGATGATAAATTTTAAAAATGCTTTGAAAGTGAGAAGGAACAATCTTAACACTAGAATGATTGGAAAGACCTGTTTACCTGTTTAAAATCCGTTTTCAATCATGTTTTTTTCTTTGCAAATCTCTACTGTGCCCATTGTGTGGCTTAGCTAGAACATGCTTCATGCAAACTAGTGATTTATTTAAAAGCCCACACATCCCATGTTTGTTCCCTCTGACATTACACAAAGACAGAACAGTGCTGTTATATTTTTAATTACTCCCATGGAGATTCTAGGACACCAGTAAGAGAAGATCTACATTAAACACGGGTCATAAAACACATGTCTAATATATGGGCCCCCTTCAAATGCTGTTATACCTACGGGCTGTGTCTATATGAGTAAACCCAAGCACGCCTGGAAACATTTTCAAGCACTGGGATGTCTGTGCTAGTAAAGAGAACTTTACCTGGCACGAATTCATCCTTTTCCAAACAATGCTGAATCCAAACAATTCCTAGGCACGTTTTGGTGTTTTGACAGTTAAAGGTCATGGTGGCCATTCCCTGTAGGCTGACCTCCTGGAACCTCTCCTTTTGGAGACTTAAAGCCATCATCTACCATCGAGGCAGGCTGTCCTAGCCCACTTGGCCTCAGGGCCCAAACCTGTTCTTAGGCAAAGTTCGTTTACTGGAGCAGGCATAGGCAACGGGGCTACTATAAGAATCAGTAGAAACTGATATTTCCCTGGACCTTGTGCTGTCGTGGGACGATATTTTGGAAAAACACCCCTAGTCTCTCAGATAATGAACATCTACTCCTTTGTGATTTTTTTAAATACCAGGTATCATACTGAACAAATGAACTCTCTAACTTGGTTACAACCAATCCTTCATTTTGAGAGCAGATTTACAATTGAAATAGTCCCATCTCAGCCTCTGTCCCAGTTTATTTCAGCTTCCCACAGACCTGCTCTGTTGTTGCAAATGAGTAATAGGAAAAACTACAATTATCCTGAAGTTTCAGGACAAGATGTGTTTGAAAAAGAAACTCATTACTTTGGCTATATATGGGACCTTCAAAGGGGTGGTTTACAGAGTGCTGGAAAGTATGAAAATCGCATAAGGTTTTTCGCAGAATTTTGGAGATTGACAAAGTTATTAGAAATCCTCAGGAAGAAGGAAAATTTTCTCTGATAGTGAATTGGTTTAGGACATCTTTTACTCCCATTAAAAAATAGTTGAAGAAACAGACTTGTCGCTTACAACTTTATGTCATAGCACTCAGAAATCAGCAAAGAATCTAGTCTTTAATATAATGAAGGAAAGTGGTGAAGACGGTGATTTAGGCTCTACATTAATAATTTAAAATATTTGTTATATACAAAAATCCTAATTAAAATGCCATGTAGTGACATGGAATAATTTGTACCTCAGAGGTTGATGCAATTGGCAAAGGCATTTTTGATAGTGGAAAAACCAAAACATAAGCAGTGTAAGAGGAATAATTTACGGAGCAAAAAGAGTGGGTTGCTCATGCCAGGCTTCCTCTGGTCCTGTCGTTATTCCCTTGGGAGAAGAGGCCAATGCCCACCTCTCTACAGCCTCCTTTCAGGTAGTTGTAGAGGGCAATGAGGTCTCCCCTCAGCCTCCTCTTCTCCAATATAAACATGCCCAGGATCTGCATGATCTGCAAGATCTGCAGTGCTTCTGGCTAGCTTCCAAACCAAGGGCCAGTCAGATGTCTTTTCCTCCCACTACTTCTCTTGATGCGAGCAGGAATGAGAAACTCTGGGGCCAATAGCAGTATTAACAGCATAAAGGTCTTTTGGGGTCTTCTCAGCAAAGTGGTATTCAATCTGTATTTTTTTGACTTTGGACCTCTTTCTGCCAAATTGCCATGTCTTATTTTTATGATATATCAGGATCTCTGATTTATGCCTTTCACTGTTTTCTCACCTTCATATCTTTCATGACTTCTGTTAATTGCAACTACTTTCTTCTCCCAGGAGAACGATTTCCTCCTTTCCTTATTGCTCTTCCATAACTCCTTCCCCATTTTCCTTCTAATGTGGGCCTGTTATCTCTGCTCTGACTCACAGAGCTCTTTATCCAGTTTTCCTTTCCCAGAAGTAAAAGTAATGAAAGAAATTTCAAACAATTTGTTCATCTGTTCTAGTATTTTTTAAGTAATTTGTTCTACTATCTTCCATGTTACCTCTTCCCTCAGACTCACACTTTTTGTTGTTGTCTATTTAGTTTATAAGTGCTCTTGTATAATCTCTCTTAAAAGAATTAATTATATGTAAAATCTCTTTTGAGGTCTTCACTAATAGAATGGTGATTAATAGCATGTTGGAATAAGTCAGAAGTGTCTCTGTGAGTTCTGAAAAGGAGCAACATTATGAATGTGTCCTGGGGCAGGCAACATGACCTAGCATATCTGTTGCCTCTTAAAACTGGACTGTGGCATTCATGGTACGTAGCTTGCTCCAGCGCAATAGAGAGATGATCTTTCCTTTTTCTAAGGGGTCTGTTGCAACAATTATTGTGAACTGACTATTGCATGACAGAAGCCATTGCTTGGGATTTGGCTTAATAGGCACCCTGTAGGGATTGTCCTATCCTTTAAGTTTTGTTTTCAACAGAAAGGAGAAACTGAGGTAACTGAGCTTTATGACGGCAGTTTTCCAAATGGAATTTATTTAATAAGAGCTACTCACATGTCTATTGCCTAATGCAAGCTAAAATGTGACCTCAATCTCAATAGGAAGTGTTTCCACTACTAAGATTAAAAAATTACACTCCACATTGAATGAACTGGCTGTCTGTAATGACCTAAGTCGTTCTTGACTTTCAGGTT